AAGTAGAAGTCGAAAAGAAGAAGAAAAAGAAGCATAAGAAGCCTAAGAATCGAACATGGAGAGCCTTCTTGGAGAGAGCTTTTGTCGGAACTTTGGACCGTGACGAACTTGATGATATAGAATAATGGTACCTGCTTGCCTGTTTACCAGGGAGAGGACAGGAGGTATACGACGTTATGGCTGCGACGTTTCCCTTGCTCTTAGCTTATCTGTGTTGCTGCAATGTATATAGTGCTTCAATCATAAAGGACACTTTTGGAAATAGATCGCTGCTCGTATTGCTTCCACTCATTTGTCCTCCGGAAGAGGCGGTGGGGAACTGCCGCGGCAAACTGTTGCAGATGCAGGCTGTCGGTCATCATTCATCCATCCACCCCCAATCTAACTGATCAATCAGTCCTGTGCTTGTGGTATGACAGAGCCACTGATATCATCTCCTTTCATCTCCGGTTGTAATTGAAATCGATCGAGGGGCCAACCTTCCACACAGCCCCATGGAAGACGCACAGATGCTTCTGATGCCACGCTGGCAGATGGCCGCCAACTGTCATCATCCAGTGCTGCCGCCATCCTTATGCAAAGCCTAACGCTAAGAAGCGCGCGGGCGCCGAATTTCCACGCTTGCAGTTTAGTTGAGCGACCCGGCTCAGTGGCGGCTCGCTCATGCATAGAAAGATGGGTTTGGACCCGCGCTGGGCCTTCCATCTGCAACACTGCTCGCAGGCCATGTGTGACTTTTGGCTGCCAAAAATGAAGAGGCTGGCGACAGCTGATCCACTGTGCTATTCCTATCTTATCCTCCCGGCTGGATCAAAAGCTGCACGGCAGGGGAAATCAGCAGTTGGGCTCTGACACGTATCGAACTAGCTGATGCGCTGTCCTTCCGCCTAATGCCTACTAAGTCTTAGGGACGGGACCATCATCCAACATGCCACATTGCCCTTCGTAATTCCTTTTTCATTTCGGTGATGGTGGCCACCCAGAAATGACGTCCCTCACCGTGGCTGCAATTGGTGCCCGATGTCTCATCTCCGCTTGGAACGGCGGCCAGGGCAGAATGAAAATTGACGAGCACAGCAGGAACTAATAAAACAAACAGACGGCGTTCTAATTGATCGTATTTCACGGAGTACTCTCTCTTTCTACAGAAGCGTGGGTCCATTCGCCCTATATGTATAGTGGAGCTTTGCCGCATTGATTCGCACGGCATTATACCTCCGCACTGCCGTGGCTTCATCCACTTGGCTGTGGCCAGGGAAATATCAACGGGGCAGATAACCTGCCCTTGCATCATTATTGCTCCGCACATCCATTCATTATCGCTCTAATCCCACATTCTCGCGCAGCTGCGACCGAGTGCCCAACTTCAATTGGGACGAGAATTGACTTTCAGAACATTGACTTTTTGTGGTTATATCTTCTGTTGCCTCACCCAAGCAGGCTTCGTTTCATGGGATAGCGACTTCAGGCCTTGAGATAGCTGCCATCACTTCCGGCCCCAAACTCGTGGGCGGTGCCCGCCCATCGCTGGCAAGAAGCACAGACTAACGCCTTACCTCGCCTAGTTGCACACGATGCATCAAGACTCCCTCCTATTTCACAACGACCAGTTCCTTGCCCTTTGTTGTTTCGAATGCCCCCTTCCCCGTGCCTTGCGTTCCTAAATCCCACCTATACCCTTTCGCGCTCCCACGCCCGCTTGACTATCACATTCTTCTGCTAGCATAGCCTTGCATACAGGGCTGTTGACAGCAGGCTGAGGAGAATTCTCATCTAGAAGAATTGATCTGGGTGATTTCCTTTTCGGGTTAACGATTTGCTATTTAAGTCTGATTGCACTACGGAGTACACCCGCGATCTGATCCTCGCTGATTCTCCAATTAAAGACCACTAATTGCTGACATATGTAACATACTTGCTTTTGCTTTCCAGTTGAAATTGGCGGCTTTGTGCTTTCGTCACTAGGGGTCTCTGCATGTACAACTGATCGGCTATTCAGTCCTATTCGGAGGCGGCACCGAGAGGCGCGGACAAGCCACAGATACGACGAGTCTGATTTTGAGACGGGCGCATTCAACGAAGGACTGCGCTTGCAATTGAGGATTTCAATTGCGGAACCGGCAACTTAATACCCAAACATATCGAGCTTTAGGCGCCAGCACGAGCATGGGAAGCTTTGGTGCATGCGACGGCTGATCCAATTCTAAGAACCGTTTGCGCGCGCGTCCGAGGTAAGGCTCCCGATCCCTTGGCGCTTTGCATGTTTCACTCCGATGCATCTATCTTTTATATGAGCGCGGTGGGCAATCTGTGGCCACTGACTGAGAATTCTTAAACGGCCCGATGCTGTGGGATCGGTCCTCCCCTCCAAAGTTGTTGTTCGGTTACACTTGTTCGAAACTTGTTCTGTTATATACCAGATCATCATGGATATGACTAACTTGGCAATCGATTGCCCTGTGATAGAAACCGGCTCCCTTGCTTTGTGGATGGCTTCCTCCGAAGTGGACCAGAAGGCCTTGGGCAATTTTGCGGCCATGACGGGCCTTGAGAACCCGTTCCTGTCCGCGATGCTGTACAAGATTCTGGGGCTGTCTGTTATGTTATCGAAGAAACTCCTCCGTGCACGACGGTTGCGACGCCTTGACCCCACCCGAGAGACTAAATCGCTTCATCTTTATTATCATATCATCTGGCTTTCCCGCGAGGGTCTTTTGATATTAGAGGAGTTTGTCCTGCCCCTGGTTGAGGGATGCATGGAACTCAAGATTCTAGCCTACAAGTTGCGCGCCTCCTTCTATCATATATTCGTCCTGTTTCAGAATCAGCCTGCTGTCCACACGCCGGGTATCGTCAGCCTGCCGAGTAGTACACCCCTATCCAATGGCGTTACTGAAGCCGAGTCACCATCCAAAGATTCCAATTCGCGATTTTCATTCCAGCTGAAGCCCGATACGATAACGGTTTCCGGGAAGCCCAGTTCGGCCTCGGATGGTGCGCCACGAGGCAAGGTTACGCAGGCACCCCCGGGCTTCGCGCCGGTTCAACCGCCCAAGTCGACCTCCTCGTTTCTCCTCCCTGCACTCGACTACACCCCCACAGCTACCGCATGCTTCAATCATGCTGCACTCCTGGCGGATCAATTCCTCCCGGGCTCGCACCCGCTCCGTCTGTCCATCAAGCTGGAATTTGCTGCCTACCTCTACGACTGCTTACATGACGCTCACGCCTGTCGACGGCTGGCCAAGCAAGCCATTGCCGACGTGTACAATGCGCAGGAGGGCATGGACGACGAGAGCTTCGAGGATGCGGCTGAGATTGTGGGGATTTTGGGCAAGATGGTGAAGCGGGGAAGGAACGCAAGCAGTGCTGGGAATAGCACCACGGCTTTGAAAACGCCTAGGGAGGAGCGTAGTGAGGGCACTCGAACGCCGTCCTCTCAGACAACGTCGAAGAAGCCGGCAGCGCGAGTGCCGAAAAGCAGCTCCTCTCCGGCGCGCGCGACCAAACCGACGACTAGCGAGGGCATGTCACCCGCTGTGCCCGACCCCACCATGATGAATCCCATATGATGCCTTTTTGCTTACAACCTGTATATGCTTCTTCTTGGACCTACGGAGGAGTCGCGCATGGAGCGCTTGGCCTGTAATTTTTACTTGACTTGTGCGTGTCTGTATCATCACTGTACGGAGTTGCGGCGATAGACTGGAATTGGGCATCAGCTCGCGAGGAGCTGTGGTCAGTATGAGCGATTAAGCGTGATGAAAAGCTCAGGTGGGAATAGCAGACCGGCCAGTTGTGATGGGTGTAGATAGATATCTAGATCTGTGCGATAGTTACAAGGGATGTTGTTGATGTCATGCACCCCACTTGTGTGTGCTTGTCTGGACAATAATGGACCTACACTTGATACTAGTTACTAGTAGCAACAATTGTCAGTCTCAAGCCAATGGTTATGGGGCAGGATGGATTCGATGGATCTCTTGTTGATGTTGCAGTGGAGGCCAACGCATTGTCGCCTGAGGCAACCCCCCACCCAGGGTCCGATGTAAAATACCATACCGGGCAGGACGAGATAAATTACCGGCGAGGCAGCAGTTTTTCCCATTGACTCCTGAATGTATATTTCATGTTGTGTGTGAATGAGAAGATAGAATTGACTGATGCCTGCAGGGGGGCAACTTTGAGTGTGAAGAGGCGAAAAGTCAACACGCAAACGGGCAATTTGTTTCTATAGATACTTTTTTTTTTTTTTCTCATCGACATCGACACGAGGGTGGATTACGACGACGACCCTTCTTGGCGCACCACCTGCGAGGTCATCCATCGCCAGCAAGAAACAAACCTTTTTAGCCATTGCGACCCTTTGGGTTCTGTCTTTTACGTCATTCGACGGGGATCGCCTCCTGCAGCATCCGGCAGTATTATCTTTACAATTCCATCTCCAGCTGATCTTGCGCGCAAATCAGATTTCCCCTCTTCGTCCTCCACGTCGATTTCCTCCTCCCCCCCACCACCAACATTAAGTTGTGTTGTTCTGCTCTTCGTTGCCGGGGGCTCGAGTGCAAAGAAGGACGCGCCTGCTTTCCCTTCCCGACCGTCCGACCGCCTGATCGACATCATCGCCCAGAAGCGAAGGACCGCAGATCCAGCGCAAGACCCTGAAAAAAGAAACGCACCCGAACGAGGTTCTGCCCCCCAAGGCTGCGCGCGCAATCACGTCTGTCAGAAGACCCTGAACGAGGCTGCGACGCATCTATACTTCTTTACTTACTTGCATAAACCCTCCGAACCTTGAATCTCTTTTACAATTTCCACTATATTTTTTTTCTCCTTTAATTTTGATTTCCTCGCTGGCAATGAAGCTGTTTGTTCTGGAAGCCTCTCAAGCACGCGGGATCCTCATCGGCTGTTAGAAATACCTCTTTTTTTTTTTCTCTCCGAGGATTGTGGATTGGAAAACCAAAAGTCAGGCCTTCGTCGGTCGCTGACTGTGGATGATGCGGTCGGGGCTTCAGAAACCTGGGGCCATTCCGTTTCTTGCTCTCTTGGTCTTTTCGCTATTTAGTTTGGTGCCGTCGCTCGCAAAGGAATGGGATTTCTATAACGTGCACCTGGGGTACATTGGCTATCGCAATGACGTTCGACGTATGCATTCCTTATTTCTTCTTCTATCATTCCCCCTCCCCCTTTTTCTCTCCCCCATGTATTTGGCTGAGTCAGATAAGCTAACGGTTGTGCTGCTGCAGATGTCTCTCGGGTAAAAGATAACTGGGCCGATGTTCGAACAAGATCTCGAGTTTCTGGGACTGGCTGGAAGCCATGGCTCCTAGATGGATATCAGGGGTTCTATGAGCGCAAAGCTCGTCCGCGACGTTGTGCGGTGGACGCGCCGTCTCGGAGCTCTTTTGAGGCTGCTGCCGTCTTCGATACCGATCCTTTGGCATTTCCGGCCCGAGAATCCTCGGCTTTCACTCGGGGAGTCCGCGCTTTTAAGGCAATGGTCATCAGGCAGCCGGATGAGTCGCAGTTACTTCCGACCTTTGCAGCGGAGGGTAATGCCATCGAGCAATTACCTACGCGACTCAGTGCCCTTGCCAATTCCTCGGTTATACCAGCTGCTCCTCTCGACGACGGACCTTTCGGGGTGTCGCCTACCAGCAATTCCATGATACCAGCTACCAGCAGCGTGGTTGATGTATCTCGATGGTTGCTAGGGTTGTCCCGTGCCTCATGGCAGCAGGTCTGCCGCGCGGGGAGCGAGTATCTGGAGAACATGACTGCTTGGCAAGCCCGCCAGCCCAACTTCGACCTCTCACAACATGACAACCACACCACCTCCTCACATCCAACAGTCCCACAAAACCACACACCCCGCGAACAACCTATACCCCCGAGAGCAGTAGTCGTGAATAATAGCGACGACACCACCGACACCGCCAGTCAATCAGCATCCACGCCAAGCGCCACGCCGCCCCCGCCGGCTCTCTCCCCCAACAGCACCGCACCGACTGCCGGACAGTCCAAAGTCGCGGGATTCCAGCAGGAGACCGAGCACATGCGCCGGGGTAGCTGCATGGCCATAGTGATCGGCCTAGTGGTGGGCGTGATGTGGTTTTAAACACACCTACCCATCCATCCTCACTCCAGTCATAGAATTGACTGGCTGGTTGGTTGACTGGCTGGCTGGCTTATTATGATTCTTTGCAGATTTTTTGCTCTCACTGTATTTGGTTTCGTTGTACATCACTTGCTTGGGGGAGTCTGATGAGACACCCATTTTGTTTTCTTTTCATGCCTTTACGACTGTTGGACGGATCGGATATAGGAATGGGATGGGCTGGACATAGGAGCAGCCTGAACTGGCCCTGTCGAGTGCAGTATGCCAATCAATATATATAATAATCTTCACCGTGCGATACTGCAGTGGTCATCGTATGCGTATGTACTAGGAGTAGATGCGGTGCTGTAGATAAAGTCACAAGCTAAGTACTGGCAACTCATATACTACTTAGTATATTCTTTTCCATGTACTACTATCATCCACCACCATCAACATCCAACTTATACACTACTAGTACTGATATACTACCTATACAACCTCACTTAACCCCACCATACCCCACTGATCTTACCTCTCTCCTCCCACCGCACCTCAACCCAACACCAACCTCCCCCCTCAACAACAACCTAAACCCCAAACCAACAACTTATACTCAACTCCTACGAAGTACTAGCACTAACCCTCTTCATCCTCATCCCCTGCACCACCGCCAACACCCCAATCACCGCCACGCACTCCAACACCACTGCCAACTGCCACGACCTCGTCAACGCCTCATTCAGCACGACCAACACCGCCCGCTTCGCTTGCCCCGATAACCCCTCCGTAAGGGTCGAAATCCCCCCAGACAACAACCCGCTCACATCAAGTCCATCGCCCACTGCAGTACCCTTTAACCCCGCACTGAGCTCGTTCGTGAAGAGCGCTTGGGCGACGGCGACGAATATAGACCTATACCAAACATACATAACTTTCATCAGTAAAGTACCAGAAAAGCACCTAGAATGGAGGTGGGAAAAAGGAGGGATATGGGTACATACGCCCCCACCGTCTGCGAAAACATGACCAACCCCGACCCAATCGGAATATCCTTCAAGGGCAGCGCCTGCTGCGCCACCATCAACGGGGTGACACTACACAAACTGGACGATATGGCAAAGATGATTTGATATCCGATCCATTCCCCTGTGGGCGTGTCGACAGTGAAGGTGGTGAAGAGGCCTGAGCCCACGGCGCCGAAGATTATGGCGATTCCCATGAATAGGTCCGGGTGGCCGACTTTGGACATTAGGATCCCGCCCGCTAGGGAGATGATCGTGCTGGTTATTACCCATGGGAGGGTCCAGATTCCGGATTGGATGGGGGTTGCGGATTTGACGCCTTGGAACCAGCTGTTTGGGTTTATTGGTTAGTTGGGGGGTGGTTGTGAGAGGGGAAGGGGAGGTACATCGGGAGGTAGTAAGTCAGGACGAAGATGGCGCTGACGGTGCAGAAGCCGAAGAAGGATGCTGCTGAGACGGTGCGTTGGGTGAATACCCTTGACGGGAGCATGGCGTTGGGACCTTGCCATATCTCCACGCTGATGAATGCGATGGCGAGGATGCCTGCGAGAACTAGCAGGACGATGACTCGGGCGTCTTGCCAGGCGTATTTGAGACCGCCCCATTGTAGGGCGAGGAGGAGGCAGACGATGGATGGGAGGAGAGCTACGAGACCGAAGAGGTCGAGGGTCTTGAGGAATTCGGTCCATGAGGTGAAAGTTTCGTGGTCTCGTTTAGGCGGATGGACGAGGAAGAAGAAGGCGATTTGGATGACGGTGCCTATGGGGAGGTTGATGTAGAAGTTCCAGCGCCAGGAGACCTTCTCGGTGAGGACACCTCCAATCAAAGGCCCGAATGTCGTGGCGAGTCCGCGGGATCCTGAGAGGAGACCGAGGAGGATGGGGCGTTTGGCTGGGGCGACGAGGATGGGAACGAGAGAGAAGGCTGCGACCAGGAGTCCTGAGCAGCCTACGCCGGCGATGGCGCGGCCGATAATGAGGGAGTGCGAGTTGGGCGCTGCGCCGCAGACGGCGGAGCCTACGAGGAAGAACAGCATTGAGATGCTGTAGATCCAGCGGACGGAGTAGCGGGCAAGAAGTTTGCCGAAGAGGAGCTGGGTCGTGCAGATGACCATGGTGTAGACGCTGCTGTACCAGCCGACATCACCCAGCGAGTGGAAGTCGTCAGAGATGTAGGGCGTCGCTGTAGCGATGATGGTGCTGTCCTAGATGTAGGGTTTGCACGTTAGTATGTGTGGTACGCAGCCTGGAGAGGGCATACCAAGGTGACGAGGAAGATTGCCAGACACAAGGTTGCAACTGCGAGATAGGATTTGATCCCTGAAGGGTATTGAGAAGCTGCAATGGTTGCATTCTGACTGTTGTCTTTGGTCTCGTTCTTGTCAGTGACCTGTCCTTGAGGTTTCTGGGCCTCAATGCTGGGCAGGGAGATGCTGTCGGATCTCTCCATGTTGGAGAGCCTTGGATATCAACAGAAAACGAGTGGAAAAGTAACGAGCGACTGATTGACTGACAGACTGGATGAACGATATGTTTTAACTGACACGGCGAGTTTAGGGGAACAGCCCATCATAACAAAAGCCCGAATCACAACCACCAGACGCGTTTAGTCTCCATCCTGCCTGACAAGGCTTGCAGGGTTCAGCAAACTAGTGAGAACTAAAGAGACAAGGTTCTGATAGGTAGGAAGGGGAACAAAGAACCCGCAAAAGCAACTAATCACTGCATTAGACCCTTCTTCAAGGCAGCATTCGACCTTGAGTTCTGCCTATCCAGAACATGAGGTGCTGATAGAAGTGATTGGGTTGACAGGGAAAATGAAGCCGGGTATACCATCCTTGTCATTCTCCACCCTGAGTCTCACTTAACGATGGAGCGATAGAGAGCACGGAAATACCTCCACTTATACTAGTACAGTGCATCGATACCACGCTGAAACCCCACTACATGAGGCATCTGGATGTCATCCAGCCACCGTCGACTTCCGTTGCCATTGCTGGTATGGCGTGTCGCTGTATCCCAATGTCTGAGGTTCCTCCAATAGTGGAGACAGCGTTGCGCGATCACCGAGGATGACCGGTCCTGGTTTCTGACTCGCTGTGATGTGCTATGCTATGCTAGTCTCCAATCTAGATCTCAATGGGTGAAGCCACATACATACTCGGTCTTCACCACCATAGCTTCTCAAATCATGATGAAACGAGACATACCAAGCAACGTCCACATTCCAATCCCCGCAGCGCAGACATCACCAGGAATGTGCTCAGACAGAACTATTTAAACACATTCAGCATCCAAGCTAGACCAAGTTCACCATTTCTTCCTATTTCCCATTACCATTGAATACATCCTACTAGTATACCCGAATACTCTATAACAATGAAGCCACCTACCATTCTGGCCACCCTCCTCACCCTGACCCTAACTGGGCTATCTGTGGCTGATAAAACCTGTACCCCGAGCTTTGATTACTGCTCAGATGTGCTGTTGAATGATAAGGGTGAGACCTTCTCCAACTATATGTACTATCATGTCATATAGTATCTACTTCTCCATCTGACTAGCTGATGCTAACATGAAACTGGTACAGGCTTCTCTCAGTCTGATCTGACAGACGCCCTCCAAGGCACCGGATATGAGAACCAAAACCTGACCAACATTCTCTTCCACTGTACGAATCCGGGCCAGGTTGGCCATGCTAAGCTGTGTGATAACGGGTGTGTGGACCCTCCTCAAGAGGGCAGCCATGGATGTGATGGTTAAATGAGATGGCATGAGGACTTGGCTAGTACTGGAAATGGCGGACAAATAATAGTAACAAATTAATTTCATTATTTTTGTATGGGTTGGAATCAGGTTGAGGTTAAGATTGGATTTACATACAGAAAGAAGCACCAGGCAGCCCGGGCCACGCGCGACGCCAGTTGACGGACGCGCCCGCGGGAAGTTCCCTTTGTATTTTCCCATCCTTCAGTTAAGAGGCTGCGGCACTCATTGTAGGTTGCGGGTTTCTGTGACTCTCAGACTATAATATATACTTATCATTTCTAAACTCAACGCTTTATTATTATCTTCTCGGTATAACAGGCATACATGCGACCGCTACATCACACAGACCCAATTCCTAAGTAGCCTCCCGAACGCGCAGCCCGCGCCATGAACCTTCCCCCAACTCCCTGTTGCGTCTGCCGCTTGAAAAGGCGGGGATGTGACAGGTCTCAACCTAGTCTGTTCATGATCTCTCCCTTTGTAAGGTGGAGCTAATGCCAGCCAGCCTGTGGAGGATGCAAGAAACGAGGACTAGATGAACAATGTTCCTACCGGCCCGAGGATATGCCTCCCGCCACGTACGTCTGCACGTGTATAGTATGATCTTTGAATCAACTAACATCCTGCAGCTCTCATAAAAAAGCCAAAATATCTCATTCAGAGGATAACAGTCGCTCTCTCTCTCCTCCGAGGCAGCAAATTCTGTCACGGAATACTTCCAATGTTGCCCCACGCTCGCAGAGGAAGCGTCGGCGGGACGAGTCCTCTCCTCCCCAACATGATGATCGAAACCAACATGACTCGGTGGAGGTATACTCTATCACTTCAGATGACAGCAACCCTCCTAACCCGTCGGGTACCGGGATCAATGCCCACATCTCGCGCCTGACCCGGCTGCAGCAGGCTGTAGATGCAAGAACAGGCCGCGTCAAGACTGAAGCTCCAATCGAAGATGGCATGTTCTCGCTGCAAGATACAGGGCCAGACTGCGATCCTCACTCCACCATTGCCGAATCTCCAGCCCAACTGCCCTCGGATCTGATGGACAGTCTGATCGCCACCTATTTGGCCCGCGACTACGTGAACTGGCCTATCTTCGACCTGCCAGACTTTCAGTCGGCCTGTGAAAAGGTCCGCGACGTGCATGACCTCACCGCTGGGTCGAGTGGCTTCTACGCCATACTCATGATGATTCTATGTCTTTCTGGGCTGAGATATCGCCAAGTAGATGAAGCCTATCTGCAGTCCCTCTTCAGCCACGCCCAGAGAATGACAAACAGCCCAGACTGGCAGAGCACCCCTTGGGTGCGTGTGCAATGTCTCTTCTTGCAATGCCAGTACCTCAACACAACAGGAAAATCCAAACAAGCCTGGGCACTGATCGGCTACACCATCCGCACCATGCAAGCCCTAGGATTCCAGTCTCAAACAACCGCCCGCAACGGCCGAGAAAGACAGCAGCGTGAACTCGGCCGCAGGCTCTGGCACAGCGCAATCATTCTGGAGCGAATGCTAGCATTGCAACTGGGCCTACCGCCCCAAGTCAACAACCCCCTCCAGGTGCACCTCCCCACACACCTAGACACCGACTACATCGACACCGTCTCCGGCGGGACGCCCAACTCCAGTGGAGACCGGCCCTCGATCATCGAGTTCCTAATCGCATGCGCCAGACTCTACACCCACGTCGAAGACATCACTGCCTGGGAATTCGAAGCAAGAATCCGACCAGACACCTGCGCCGCGAAGAAACTCCTCGCCCTGGACATCTCCCCGTTTCTCAAAACAGACGCTCTTCTCTACGACTGGCAAACATCTCTACCCTCATTCCTCCGCACCGATGAGACCTTCGAACTAGCGGACGACCCCATTGTCCGCCGACAACGCCACACCCTGCACGCCCGCTACCTCTATCTCCGACTTCGACTCTACCGACCCCTCTTAGCTCTTGGCCTCGCCCTCTCCGCCAAATGCCCCTGCCGCTCAAACAAGCACCCTCACATGTCAGAGACTGATCCTTCTTCATCTATCAACTCGCCAATACTAGTAACCATCGTCCGCGACACCTCCCTCAAATGCGCCGCCATTGCCGCAGACCTCGTTGACTTGATCGAAGAAACCGAGGACGGGCTGCTGGACGGCGGTCCGGACGATACCTGGCGCAGCGCAGGCTCGCCCTACTGGGAGAACGTGGAGTATCTGTATGCCTGCGGGATTGTCATTCTGGCTGCGCGACTGTGTCCTAGTTCGGGCGTGGCGCCGCTGAAGAGGGCCTGGACAAGGGTTATCTCCTTATTGACGAAGTATGAAGGGTTCCGGGTTGGGGAGCATACTCATCTTGCGAGGTTGGGCAGAAGCACGCTTGAGAATTTGGCGGGTGCGTTGCAGCGGGATGTGGGTGATGCGATGGTGATGGGGTTGGACGGGGAGGTGAGAACGAGGTTGGTGGGGAGAACGAGTGGTGGTGCTATGGATTCGTTCGGGGGAGGGCGTAGACACAGTCAGGGTCACAGTCGGGGTCAGAGTCAGAGTCAACTGGGAAATCTGGGTTGGGTTGAGAGTTTGTTGGTTGATTTGGTGGGAGATGATATGTGATGTTGTAGATACCCTTTGTTTTTGTTTGATGGCAGTTATGATTAGAAATACATATATGAAATATTATAGAATATATTACTATATTACTATATTAATCGGTTTGATGTTACTGTTTATCTACTTTATGTTATAGTAACATTCAAGTCACCCCTGCTGCTAGTAAGTTGGCAGCCAGCAATAATAACATATCCTTTTGGCCTCCAAAACACAGCTACCGTCTCCGGCAACGAGATAATATATAGTAGCTAGGAGTATATATGCGGCCCATTTCACCGTACCAAACTCATATTAGCACCGTAAGTTATTAGTAGTTACTTACGCCTTTGAATCAACAATTCCACGACCTCCTCCTACAGTACATTAACTGAGATCGACTTATATAGATCTCCGTCATTGCGGAAGCGGTGACCCTGCCGAGTTCCTTTCCCTATCGACTGCACTGCGATCAAGGGAACCAATACGAATGCTGCGGATCCCACGTACAAACCCGAATAACAAGATAGAAACTCATAATACATGCATATTTACAGTATATATATATATATATATACACAATCCTAGACAGCTGTCTCCAGCTACTGCTTCTTCTCCGCCTCGTCGATCAATGTCTCCATCTCCTGCTCCGTCCACCGATGAAACAGCTTCTTCGGATCCGACAACGACGCGTCACTCTGGACCGACTGGACGTGTAGCACGGGAACATCAAAATCGTAGACATCCTTCCAAGGCTTATTGCTCGGGAGCTGGATATCCAACTCGGTGTAGTCGAAGGGACGGCGCTTGTGCAGCTTCGTGACGGTGAGTTTGGCGGTGTCGCAGAGGCCGCAATTGGCGCGGGTGAAGAGAGTGACGCGAGCAGCGGCGAGACGGGCGGCGGTGGGGAGCATGTTGCTGTACAATCGGTAATTCCAGATGATAATTGGGAAGTCAAAGTTGAAGTAAACCAATTAAGAGTATTAAGAACTTGTAGATGGAATCGCGGGGAAGAGCAAGAATGGATTGAATTGAAAGACTGGAACCTTCGAGCTCTCCCCCCGGCTAAGCCCGTTTGGGCCGAACCTCAGCGGCGGTTCTTCGACCTTCGATGTTTGCGACGATCGATCTTTTCCCCCCCCCCAATAGAACTCATATCTCTTCCCCAGGAGATACCGTTGAACCGTCGGTCTCTCTCTTACTCAGCTCTGCTTCCTCTCATTTCAGTCGCTTCCACCCCATTTCCCCCAGCATGGCCTCCAAGTGTGTCCACAAGGGCTGCGGGAAGGAATTCACCGACGCCGACGAGCCCTGCGTCTATCATCCTGGCCCGCCGGTGTTCCACGAAGGACAGAAAGGTATTTAACAGAGGACTTCAAGGGGGGACCTTGGGAGTAGTTTAGTTGATCCACCGTTCATCGGATCTTCTTCGTGACTCAGTTCCACTCATCTATCTACTTACACTTGATCGCATCCAACATACTAACTGAATCACCCCGCAGGCTGGAAATGCTGCAAACCCCGCGTCCTCACCTTTGACGAATTCCTCGCCATCCCTCCCTGCACCACAGGCAAACACTCCACCGTCGACGACACCCCTGTCGAACCTCCCAAACCCGCCGCTGATGTACCATCCCCGGCCGCTACTCCCGTCTCCAGCGCCGCCGCCGCCGCTCCTCCCCGCCCCGTCAACTCCCCCGCTATCCCTCCTCCCTCGAACGCGCCCACCCCCGTGCCCGAAGAACCCGAGTCCGATGACCCGGATCTAGCCATCCCCGCGAACGCGACCTGCCGTCGTCGCGGTTGTAATGCAGGCTACGATGCGAACGTCTCGCGCGACGAGGAGAAGTGCGTGTACCACCCGGGCCAGCCGATCTTCCACGAGGGAAGCAAGGGCTGGTCATGCTGCAAGAAGCGGGTGCTGGAGTTTGATGAGTTCTTGAAGATTCAGGGTTGTTCGGAGAAGAAGAAGCATCTGTTTGTGGGGAAGGGGAAGCCGGCGGGTGAAGAGAAGGTCGAGTCTGTGAGGTGAGTGACCCCTCCTTTCTCTCTTCGGTTGTGGGTAATTGCTACGGAGTGGAAGTATACTAATATATAATGGATGATGTACAGGAACGACTTCTACCAAACCGCCTCCTCCGTGAACGTCTCGCTCTACCTGAAGAAGATCAACAAAGACACCGCCAAGGTCGAGTTCAAGGCCACGTCGATCGAGCTGGACCTCCCTACGACGGATAACAAGCGCTACACGGATTCATATGAGTTGTTTGCGCCCATTGATCCCGAGCAGTCCAAGTTCCGCGTGCTGGGCACCAAGTTGGAGCTGACGCTGGTCAAGGCCGACGGGACGAGCTGGCCGGTGTTGCGTCGCGATGATAAGTGGTCGGGAGAGAGGATCCAGATTGGAAATGCTGGACGGGTGTAGTAGCAGCTGCCTTTTAGATATATACGTTTTATAATGGTGATGGAGGGTTGGAGTATAGTATGAGATATGAAATAAAAGTGATGACCGCATTGAGAAAGTGCTTATCTTATCCGGAGGAACTGAATGAAATCAACCTTAATAAGCAGCACACAGTACCCAATGTAGTAAGGTGCAATAGCACTGTCAATCATACTTGGTGCAATCCAAGGGCAATATTATGAATCCAGTTGACGAGACCAACTGCGTAGTAGTACCGCAACTCCAGCATAGACAATAATCCTGCGTCCATATGCGCATGCCATCATATGCAATGCTAAGTACTGAGAAGTCCGCACCAGTACCACAAGCCCTTAAGCTAGTGAAACCACGTGACATACATATTCCCAAGAACCCAACTTCACCGCTGTCACATACACATACCCCAATATCACTTTCCGATAAAGGAATATATATATTGTACAGAAAGACAAAAGCCAGCACCCATCTACGAAAATTATATATAATCCCCTCTCAAACCCCATTCAACATCAAGAACCAAGTTTGAAGAAAGAATGTAATGTACCGCCTCCTCCACAGCTCAAGCGCATGGGGATTTTATCCTTTCGAACAAAAAACCCTAGCCAAGCCATGAATTGTAAGGGAAAAAGGAAGACGAAAAACTGCTCTGCAAGGCTGGGAACGGAGGAGAAACCCATAGAGAAAAAATCCCACACAAGATAACCCTCAGCGAGCCGTACGGTGACGGAGCCCCGGTAAGATTTACTAAATTACTTGAAGGTAAAAGTAAACCGCTACTGATGATGAAGAAAAAAAGAAAAAAAAAAGGAGGGCGAAGGGAGGGGGGCGGCGGATAGGGGGGGGTTTATGTAGGGGTTGGAGGGTGGGGACGCTAGGGGCTAGTGGGTGACGAGGTGGGAGGGGGTAGGGTTGGGGTTACTGTTTGTCACGTGGTAAGTTGTTGTTGAGGGGAATCACATGTGATTGATTGAGGTTGGATTGGGATCGGTGAGGGAGGTGGGGTGGAGGTGTGCTGTGTATTTTATGTTGTATTGATGTTGGTATTGGGTTGTTTGGTACGGGGTATTTGATGGTGGATGTTATATCGATGTTTGCTTTGTTGTGTGGATGGCTTGTAGTATGTGGGTTTGTGAGGTTAGATTGTTCGTTGCAGAGGATACAATGGATTAACTACTTTGAGATGAAATGAAAGAAGTACGCAGCGAGATTATTCAGGCTTTCGTGCAATGTACACAGTATAGAGATATGTTTGTTTGGATGTTGAGTTAATGATGTAGATGATATGTGAGAAACAGGCATATTGTACTAGCTGGCTAGTAGCTCCTGCTCTATTCTATACTTCTTATAATCTCTTTGTTGTTATACTTAGGGTCCTCCTAGTCGACCGCAATTTATCTATGTTGCGTATTGTTCTGTACTGTATCCATCAATACGCTGCTATCATACGCTCAACACCCCTGACCCCTGATGCCGCCAGCATAACAGCCAGTATCGCCATGAGCTATACTGATGGCCTGCTCAATATCAGCCCTCTAAGCTTCCTCACGAGTCTTCATGCCTTATTCAGCGGAGGGGTAACACTGGCGTCATCTCAACGGATGGCCAGCCAGTTGGTTGGCTGCGGTGCAATCCTCAGAAGGCGGAAAAGGAGGGGTTCAGGGCCCGCCGCCGCCTTCCAATCAGTGAGTCGCTGGCACGAGACCAGCGGCGACATCTTCTCCTCCTCCTCTCCTGTTCTCTTCCTCTTCGTCATTTCTCTTGCGCCTGTCTCTGAGAGTATCAATTGCCGGCCAATTTGTACTCGTAATCACCCCTTTTCAGACGGCTCACGGACCACACGGGAAAAGCAAAATCTCCTGTTCTGTCTATCACTTTTTAGTAGGTACGTGGGTACCCTTGTTCTACATTTGTGCTTTAATTCAAGGCTATGCCTTATCATGCCAATAACTAGCAACCCGCTTGAATCGTGTGGCTGACTTTGCGTGGAAGAGTTCTAGAACGGCTAGACCCTGGTCGACTGTCGCGTATTGATCGATCACCGCCATTTTTTTTTCTTTCCCTCCTTTCAACCCCTTGGATTCTCCCACAACCGCCATAATGCATGCAGAAGACCGCAAGCCCTTCCGTCACATTCCCCTATCATACAATCATGCCGACTCTCATGCCTCCGCGCTGAGGCTCATCTTGACACTCAACCCGCACTGGGAGGGACCGGACAATAAGATCGAGTTTGTCCGGTTCACGGATGGCATCACCAATACTGTGTGTTCCTCGCAATGTTCTCTTCGCCGGTGCTCGCTGTAAGAGGCAACACCGCCATTCTATGGGACTAACGTGGCTTCAGCTTCTTAAAATCATCAATCGCAAGCCCGGCTTGACCGAGGAGCAGATAGACCAAGAAGCAGTACTGATGCGAGCGTACGGTAACCACACAGAAATCCTCATAGACCGCGAAAGTATGCCACCCGGGGTCACTACTTGCCCCTCCTCTCTGCCCATTGCGACACTTGCTGAGTAGATACTTCTACCTATAGGAGAAACGAGATCCCATGCTCTTCTTGCCAGCCATGGATTAGCCCCTCCTCTCCTGGCGCGCTTCAACAATGGCCTCCTGTACCGGTTCCTCCGTGGCCGCCCAGCCAGCGCGGAGGACCTTGCCACGCCTGCCGTCTGGCGGGGTGTGGCCAGGAGACTTGCGCAGTGGCATGCGGTGTTGCCCATCAAGGGAGCTGCCGCACCGCTAATGCCCGCCGAGGACGTGACCCTGATGCAACATGTAGATGAGGCCACGGCACACTGCCAGAAGTTGAAGCACGAGGACATCTCCGTGATCACCCCAAAGCAGCCTGGGCCGAGCATGTGGAGTGTGCTCCAGAAATGGATCCTTGCTCTGCCCACGACCACGGAGGAGCAGCGCCAACGGAGACTTAGTCTGCAAAAAGAGCTGGAGCGGGTTGTCAGCGAGCTAGACGATGGAAAGGGCCTAGGCGATGGTGGAGTACGTAGCACTAGTCCCTGTTATACGGAACGACCATTTAACCTCACACTAGTTGGTTTTCTCTCACTGTGACCTTCTCTGCGCCAACGTCATTGTGTTGCCCGAAAGCGCCTCTTCGGAAGACGAAGCGGCCGTTGTCAACTTCATCGACTACGAATATGCCACCCCCTCACCTGCCGCCTTCGACATTGTCAACCACTTTGCCGAATGGGGCGGTTATGACTGCGACTACAACATGCTCCCCACCCGTTCTGTGCGACGCGAGTTCTTGACCGAATACGTCAAGAGTTACAGCCACCATAAGGGAATCCCAGAGTCATCTCAAGGAGAGATTGTCGATCGACTCTACGAAGACGTCGATCGGTTCCGAGGCATTCCCGGACTCTACTGGTATTGTCCCTTACGTGCTTTTCATATACTACATGCTAATCTAAACAGGGGCGTGTGGTCACTCATCCAAGCCCAGATCTCACAGATCGACTTTGATTACGCCTCCTACGCCGAGGTCCGTCTCGGCGAATACTACGCATGGCGCCGGGAGGTAGACGGGTCGCGGACCCAGGCAGGTGAAGAGATGCCCCTCCGGGAGCGACGATGGGCTCAAGAAGCTTAATCGATGTGACCGTATATAACCGCCTCCCCGACTCTCCGTATACCTCCCTCGAATCTGTTTGAGATAGCAAGCGATGATCGTTCCAGCGATAGCATAAGCGATTTAGAGTCTGGCCGTCTGTCAGAGTTTAACAAAATTTTGTTGATGGGGTGCGGTATCCTCTAGGGACGGGATACAGGATGCACGAATATTTATATTCAACATATTCTTTCCACCATGACTGTGGAATTGCTGTTGGGATAGACATGACTATACCGCGGCTTTTGTCCCTTTTTCTTGTCTATAGTTACGAATGTTTGATAGATAATATAATCATTTTGCCAGTACACAGAGAAACATACGTCATTGCTTCAAGGGGATATACTACCAACCAGTTTTCTGCCACAGATACAGGCTTGGCTTTCTAAGGATCAACAACCTCCAAAGACATTTGATAGAATCAGATGGTCAGTACCCATCCACCCATTTGGGCACGGACCCAATTATAGAAATGGGTGGGTCACGGGCGCTAACGTTCGTGACAGCTGAACCGAGTAGCGACAGCATCTGTACGATGTGCTACTCACCAGAGAGACATGACGTCTAGTCTCTGCGTTATTTTGAGGGCGTTGCGACTCTCACTGTAGGGTTGAGAAAGCATTGTTGAAGTTGAAGCTAAGATAATCATATGGAGCACCGTTGGTTACCCATCGTCGTGTGCACCGCCACTGTCTCCTACATATGGTCGACCACACATCTTCTTCTCTCAGCGGCTAGATTCTATTGATCCTAGAAATGTCTACGTAACATTCGATAAAAGATCCCTGTTGGTGTACCTTTCCATTAGGCATCCATGGTTCGGCTCCGACGATGCCTGTAAGGTTTAAGCCACTGCAATGTGGCTTAGACATGCTAGTTCGGATCAACTCTCTACCCTTGAAATCACTCATTCTGATCTTTTTCTGAATGAGATAGCATAACCATCCCAATCTATCAAATCCTCAAAAACATAGAGTAATTGCAAAAATCACCCCAAATAAACCCCTCCTCTTAGCATCACAATCCTTAACCATCTCAACCCTCCAACGCCCACCCCGCAAACATACTAGTATAGACCCTGACCGACCCTGCGGCTACACTAACACGCTCACTCTATAGCCGCCCCCCCTCTTCTTTGTACCCTAAAGCACCTGCATCATTCTCCGAAAGAAAGCCCCCATATCAATGATGGCGCAGCAATACACTCCCCAAACTACTAGTACTTAGTCCTACTAGTATGCACCTTCCCGGTACTCATGATTGGTGCCTGTCACACGGGCGCTAATCTGCATAACCCTCACACCCTCTCAAACATTCAGCTCGAAGGGCGCTTGTGATGGATCGTCGCGCGCCGCCCTCGTGTGTCACGGGCGAGGCAGTCAGCTGCGATGCACCAATCCCAACCCCTCTACTAGTTCCTAGCTCTCCTCCCCCCCGCGGCAACTGACTATGCTCTCGCCTCAGCCCTTCGAATGATTTCGATCATCATGCACCTGCTCGGCTGGGCTGACTGACTGACTGGGCTAGACTATACCTACAGGGTAGGTTAGTAGGTTAGTAGTTATGCGCCCGTTTTAGTTATTTAGAGGCGCCGACAGCCTTGTCTTTCGTCTTTTAATTTTCAGTTACCTTGAGTTGCGTGCATTGAGTTTCTGGGCATTTTTATCTTTGCTACTATCTATTATACATCATCTCTACTGCCATCTAGCTAACAAGCACAGCTACATCCTAACTACTACTAAGCATGTCCGAGCTCGTCCGCTCAACCACATTCCAAACACCCCAGGAATACTACGCCGGCTTTAAATCCAGACCGAATCTGCAAAACGTGTTCTGCGATATCGATGATGAAACTAACCTCAAGGCTTACTTAAAGCTCTTGAAGGATTCTCAGACGCGTAACTTCGTGCTCGACTTTGGGAATGATGATGCTTGGTGTGCGGTGAATCTGGGGCAGGAGGATATTGCGGCGATGTTGAGGAAACCTGTATGTGCTGTCTCTCTTGGGGGGACGGAGAGGGAAGGGCATGCTGACGATGAGGGCTTAGAAACCAAAATGTTTTGGTACGAGGTGGATGTACGTTGTGCTTTCTAGTATTACCCTTCGGTTATTAGGATTGGTTGCTGACCTCTCTATCTAGTAATATCTGGGCTCCGGAGCAACAGAAGGATTTGATCAAGACCCTTACGAATCACTATGGTGTTTCCGAGCGGCTGCAGGGGTTGATGTGTACGGATCCGGTGGAACGTCCCTCGAAGCCTCCTGTGCCTTCTGAGCCACAGAGGAATAATTTTCGCTCGAATAATGTCGATCGCTCGCGCCATTCGCGGCCGGATGATGTGGAGGGAAACGCCTTGCAGAACCTGAGACATCCTGAAGAGATTGCGGCATTGGCGGCGTTCAGAGGTATTACCTTTGGCAATGTTATTGATCAGATTTGGCACTTTTGCTCGGTGGACTATGGGTCGAAGTGTATGCTTATATCTTTGATTCATTGAAGCGGTACTAACGCGGAGCTAGATACTTGTATTGGGTACAATTCGCTATTTGTTATTCCTCAAACCGACCAACACAATGGGAGAGAGTTGCCGGATGGAAAGCGACTATGGACCTGGTTGATCTTATGTAATGATGGTAAGTTTGCTATTGGAGACACGAGGATGTTGTGCTGACTGGTCAAGGAACGGTCATTTGCATGCAGGAGAATCCATTCCCTGGTTTGTCTGGGCCATCGGAGAAGGAGCTGCAAGCTGTGCTCGGCGTAGTCCGCAGGAACATCCAGCTCATCTTTGCGGGCGTTTCAAAACAGCACTTTGCTTCGTCTGAAAGCGACTCGTTGGTTACTATTCGAGTAAGACCGTTCTTTGAGGGTGGTCCAGAACAGGTGAGCATCAAGCAAGAAGACGGGCCGAGCTTGTTGTTCTACTATATATTCGATGACTGGGTTTCATCGTATGCTCTCGTTGCACAACGCGAACATAAATACGGGGTATCCCTCAACAGACTTGTAAGTCCATGGTGATGGCTTTTTACCTTCTCACTCGCATACATTAACACTGTTCAGAGGCAAGACATGTTATCGAGACCGGAGGTTGACCTGGTCCATGAATTACATCGGCTGGGTAGACAGTTGGCCGTCTTGAGACGTCTCTATCAAAGTTATGAGCTTATCATGATGCGTATACTGCAGAGACAGCGTCTGCTGCGTGACGAGGCCCGGTCAAATCGACTTCCAATGGCAATGGGACAAAGCTTTGCGGAAAACGAAGTTGGGGATACTCGCCACTCGACGAGGGAGAGTTTCAGCTTTTCAACTCTAGATGCCGATGTAGGTGTCCAGCTTAGTCCGCCTGCTGTAGCTCGATTCGAACGACTGCTCGATCGCATCAAGCTATATTGTCTGTCGGAGATCGAGAGCTGTCTGACAGAGAAGGAAAATCTCACATTCCTTGTACGTGTGTCCATCCCGGAACAGAAGGAATATACTGACCGTTTGATAGAACTTCAACTTAATCGCCCTCAAGGATTCCCAAGCCGTTGAGAAACTGACGCGAATCACGATTCTACTCGCAAAAGTGACCATTCTGTTTTTACCAGTCAGTCTAATGACTGGTTACTTCTCCACCGAGCTTCGCAACGTCAAGGGCGAATATACGATCAATCAGTACTGGGTCAGCTTTGCCGTGATCTTGTTCCTATCGATGGTCCTGCTCTGGATTTTTGGATATGCCAGCGACACTGTGGAAGGCAAGACGATCTACCAATCGTTGTCCCGAAGTTTCTTCCGCATGTCGAGGGACCGGGTCTCCTACCGTAGAAACGAGACATCGGGCGGCGCAAGCCATCGATCTTGACGCGTCGAGTTCTGTGTTGCGATAAGAGATACCCAGCCTTCAGAATATATAGAGCTTCTTGTACATGGCACAGCCCTGCACACGAATGAACATTACGACTCACAAGCACCATACAAGCGAATCCGATGCTATAGATCTAGATACGAGACCAGTCACATGTCTACTCCACTGCTACTTTATTCCGCAGTGCACGTTTCGAATGGCTCATGACAAGCCACTGCTATGTGATCTATTTGGCCGAACGATGTTACCTATCGGGTGCATTCGCCCCATCCAAATCAGGGTCCATCGAGACCCTACCACATGCTCTCGCAATTATTCTCCTGAGGCCCACACCAGTAGCACGAGCCATGACGGCATGGCCTCGAACAATGATGGAAATCCGATACAGGGAATTGCAAATGCCACGCCTCCAGGAGTCACGGGGATGATGCGGCAGTGGCCCGTCGCTATGAGGATCGCTTGCTTATCTGGCACGAGGGATGAATAATAGCATGACGCGTAGTGAGCTGAAAGTGGCCCCTGTGGGTTCCGAGGGCTTGCACGAACCCAAGTGTTTAACGCAACGGCGTACTTTATGCGCGTGAGACGATTCGTCAATCTAATCAGGAGAGTGATTAGTGCGATGGCCACCAAATTACGGAATTTACCCTGGAATCACCCTCATCAATCTCCCAATGTTCCAGGGACAATTGAGCGACAGGCGTGAGCACAAGACATCCATCGATACCCTTCTTTGACTTGCACCCCATAGTAGTGCCACCGAAGGCGATCCACTGGGACGGGGTACCCAGAAAGCCTTGTTCGGGAACCTATCAGGTGTCCGAGTGGGCACCGATCCGGGTGTCTGGACCTTTTCTCGGGACCAAGAGGGGCCCAGGGGGGCAAAGGAGGGAGACAGATAGATACTAGGCAAGAGAGGTATGCTGGGCAAAGCAAAGAGGCTGTGAACGGGTAGCAGCATTAGACCGTTGTGGGCGACATGAGGATAGGCAACGATGAAGCCCGTTCCATTTGGCGTAAAAACGGTACGGACTTGTTTCGTGGGTAAGCCGATCTCGAGGCAGCAACAGGGATGCTGCTGAATTGGTATCAACCGGGAATCCATTGACGGGAAACACCGTGTCCTCTTCTTTTCCTTTCGGGAGCCGCAGTCTTGAGCAAGAGGACACCACGAGAGCCTCGTCTAGATAATCTGTGTCTGCTGGATGGTATTCAGTAATAGTGGTAGACTCTATTACTATCCTAAATTCAATCTATCTACACTTTCTGTCTTCAATTGCAAGCATTGTGCCTGTGTGTTGCGTAAAAGACATCCTGGTAACTGAGAATATAATACATAGTTTGGTATTTTTGACCAGCTGGTTTCGTTAGTGACGGAAGCTACGCCGAGCGGCTGAATTTCTCGACCCAAAAATCCCACCACCTCGTCAAAAAAACCGTCTTTCTGGCGTACGGCAAGGGAAAAAAGACCTGAACCTGACCGACCTGACTGAAACTAACAGAACTGACGGACTCTGACTGAGACTGACTGACTGACTGATCACTCACTATCTCCAGCTTGTCTCTAACTGTCTTGTGTCGTATCCACGCCTTCCAACTCTCCCTCTTTCTCCCTCCCTCTCTCCTTCTCCAGCTTCAACCGCAACCTGGTAAGTCTTGCTATATTCCCCTTCCTCACCCTCTCCCACTCTTCCCCCCCCTCTCTCTCTCTCCCACGGCTGGTTCCTCTCCATTTTTGTCACCCGATCACACACCTCTATTCCCTTCCTCTCCTTTCCTTAACGGCCACCGCTTTCTCCCCCTGATTTGTCCTGCCCGCCGTGTTTCCCCGGCGTGACTACCTTAACCTGATTACCTTCGCCCCTCGTCCACCACTCCATTCCATCCGTCATACCACTTGCCCTTTTACCCTTATACTATACCTTCCCCCTCCTCTGCCCGACGTCACTAGGTCTGTGTTCTATCGCTTGACCCTCTCTCTCTCTCTCTCACTCTCTCACTCTTCTCCCTCTCTCCCCGACCGTGCGGTGTGGATCTCGCACACCCTGGACTCTCTTGGTCAGATTGATTCTAACATCGCATTCTCATCCCTAGACCTTTGAATCTCACGCAACCGTCGTCATGGGTCTCACTTTCTCCAAGTTGTTCGACCGGCTATGGGGCCGCAAGGAGATGCGTATTCTGATGGTCGGTCTCGATGCCGCCGGTAAAACCACCATCCTGTATAAGCTCAAGCTGGGTGAAATCGTCACCACCATCCCCACGATTGGTCAGTCCACCTCTTTCTCCCTTTTCTCGGCCCAGACAAAGCAGAACTTGGCATCGATCAGTAGTTGGGCTTGGCTCAGCGCCGAACGGAACAATACTATGCTTGGAAATGCAATTCAATCCACGCTGGAGAAACGACAAGACTGACTAGTGTTGTTTTGTGCTGTGCAGGTTTCAACGTCGAGACCGTCGAATACAAGAACATTCAGTTCACCGTCTGGGACGTCGGTGGTCAGGACAAGATCCGTCCTCTCTGGAGACACTACTTCCAGAACACTCAGGGTATCATTTTCGTTGTCGACAGCAATGACCGTGACCGTATCGTCGAGGCCCGTGAGGAGTTGCAGCGCATGTTGAACGAGGATGAACTCCGTGATGCCCTTCTCCTGGTGTTCGCCAACAAGCAAGATTTGCCGGTATGCTTGAAATCTACTCTAATTGCAACAACGTGGAGGCCGAAACAATGGATATTAACTCTTGATTTTCTTTCCCCTTAGAACGCCATGAGCCCTGCCGAGATCACTCAGCAGCTTGGTCTGCAGAGCCTCACTCGCCGCCCCTGGGTAAGTTATATGCCCCTCGCATGTCGACACCTAAGGTGTCGATTGCCGAGTATCCACCCAACTAACGCGCTTGCTTCCCTTTTCTAGTACATCCAATCCACCTGCGCCACGACTGGTGACGGTCTGTACGAGGGTCTGGAGTGGCTTGCTGAGACGCTGCGGAAAACGAACCGCGACTAAACTGATCATCTAATGAGTGGAAGAATACCTGGAAGTTTGTGAACCTGGGAGTTGCGGATGCTGGATGGGGAACCGGGGCCGGCAAAGTCACCTCGTGTAGGGGAAAGGGATTATGCTTGCTAAACTTGGTGGTTCTTGTATGTTCTCTAACGGCTCTTCATTCCTCTATGCTATTAGCTTTTACTTTTTTTTATCATTTCTTTTGTCACCCTGGCGCCGCCCGATTGTTTTTTACGACTTCTTCTCTGCCTTTGTGCTTCTCAACCGCATGCCGTTTCCTTCCTTCCCTTTCTCGACTCGACTCGACTCGACCTCGTGCTCGGAGCAGAATAAGGGAGGGAACGGGAACAAGGGACAAAAATGGAAAAAGGAAAGGCAGTATATCCATGGACTGGGCTGTGATGCATTTGGCCCCGAGAATGAGAATGAGAATGTAGAACGAGTGCATGTAGTGGCCGGTTTTTTTATTCTACTTTTAGTGAGTTGTGATAACATTTTATAAATATAACATGACTATGACTATGACTATGACTATAGCTAGTATTATCGAGTGCAGTCTATCCATCTTTCAGGTTCCTCCGTTTTCCCATGTGTCGAGTCCTTGAACGAACGTCCCATTACCACATCCCACATCCCACATCCCCAAAGCCAATTATCCAAGATCTTGTTTGCTCTACTACTATATATATGTGAACTGATATACTATAGTATCATGTATATACAGTGTATATATATCACCTACATCCTTCCACAACTTGACGACGAACAGGTGCGCCCTCCCACTTCTGCGTCTTCTGCTGCACTAGCTCCTCCCCACTCACCCACCACGCCGCAGCACGAATAATCTTCAAGACACATTCCAACTCCTTTTGATCCCTCGGCGCATATATCATGACGAACCCCGTCGGCACGGTCCGCAAATAACACCACCACCAGCTCTCCCGCGTTAATGGATGTCGCTGGCCCCAGCCCCGCTCGATCACTGCTTTAACGTCTGCCGGATGCAGCGTCAAATGCAGACTCCCGTCGCTGGGGTGCGCGTGACATACTTCCCCGTTGCAGGTGCGGCGGTGACGCCATTGTTGGTTGCGGGACATCATTAGTGAGGAGATGTCGCGGTCTTTGAGCGTGCCTGCGCTTTGTTGCTGGGGTGTGTCGGTGCTGGAGCAGAACATGCCCGTGCTGTGTTTTTCGAAGCATGAGGTCCCTTCGTAGAGGGCTTCTGGGTTTTGGGATACTAGTTTCTGGATCTCGGTCGAGAGGGTCTCGTACATGGCTGGATTGGCCTTTTGGGTCATTTGGCGCTGGGGAGCGATTCCGGCGACGGTGGGGCGTGGGCCATGGCGTTGCGGGAGGTTGTTGGAGTTTAGGAGGCCGGTCTTGGGGAGGAGGGTCAGTGGGAGGGAGGGTGGTTGGAAGGGGTCCCGGATTGTGAAGAGTCGGAGGAGGCAGATGCGGAGGTAGCCTGTTGGGGTCGATGGAGTGCCGCCGGGGCCGAGGGCGAGGAAGGCTTGGTAGTCTTTGTGGATACGGTGGAGGAGGAAGATGGTTGGTACGAGGAGGATTGGTAGGAGGAGGAATATGCTGTCCAGGGGTGGACTGTAGGTGTGGTTGGATGTCGGGTGTTCCTGTTTGGTGTTAATGGAGGTTTGCTGGGTGGTAACGAGGAGGTACGGACCATTGTCGTCACTTCGTTATTCACCCTGCCTTATGTAGTGAAGACTGGCGCTGCTTGGCTGGGAGGAAGGGTATGGATGAGTGGTATAGATTCTATCTCAATTGACTTCGAGTCGGGAGAGCTGCATACCTCCGGGAGTATGTGATTCACTCTCTAGTTTTATAGTTAGTCATCGGCATCAAGACCGCAGGTGCCACGATACTGGACTGACCCAGTTGGTATTGAATGGCCGGGGAAGCAATCAGTGTTATCCGTCGGGGCATCGAGACCTCCTGATCAAGAACCTGAACCTGCTTGTTGCAGCGTGCATGGACAGGTGGGCCAATCATCACCGTTGCATCACACACCGCAAGTACCGCGAGGCGAAAGCTGTCTAGGCGACACAGAAGGTTGATCTCCGTTTATAGGGTAATAGGAACTCTCAGTGTCATAATTCAGTGTGCGATAAAAAAAAAAAGGTGTGGCCATCATGAGATCTTGGAACACGAGACGGATCGTCGTCACTGTGATGTATGACGACAGCCATCCCAATGGGAGTGGTCTCGGGAACTAAAAGCAAAGCAAATATTAACTAGACTAGCGAGTTAGTTTCCGCAGCATCTATTCGGTCAGCAACGGCATGCCGACCCAGTCAGCGGGTGACTTTTCCTATCCCATCTGAGAGCTCTCTCACGAGGCGGTGCTCCCAATCCGGCACATTCTTGCACAATGGGTTCAGGTCTGGTCTTTGTTAGGCTTTCGTGGCTGGCGGTGGAATGTGAGTTGGTGTCTGGGCGTGTGGAGAGAAAGCTGGGGTAACTGTGGGCCCGTGGGTAGGGTCACGCTGGACTCGATGCTTGCTTTTCTTTCTCATGAAAGAGGCTCGGATCGATCCTGCTGGAAGTTCACGACTGTGTTGTCAGTTATATTGGGTCAATTGACAACTGAAGAGTGATCCTACCGCCGTTGCCGAGGATTTGTAGGCGATGGTCACGCCTAGAAGTCGAGTATAGTATAGGTGAGGCGGCCAGCGTCGGATCTAGAAGATAGTGCAGATGCACCTTGCAGATCAATGGCGAAGGCACGAGGGAGGATGTTTCTTGTGTGTGTATTCTGCCTGGTCGTTGTACTTCCTGTTGTTCTTTCTTGTCTTTCAGTTTTGGTGGTCAGTCACACTGATACCTCAGGCGACAACATGCCCATACTGGACTAGTCCATGATCGTGAATGCCTCTAACCGCATGTGGACAGCACGAGACATTCCATCCCAAAAGGGACTTTCTTTGTATTTCCGGATCATTTAAAGGTAACTATTTCATTATGGCTAAATCTTGAGAGTGCATATACACTGTCAACAGCATCATCAATCCCATCTCTCTCCAGCCATTCATGGCACCTTACCGACTCAAGACAGCCTCAATGTCTTGCGCCAAGCCCTCCTGCCGGGCTAGTGCATCAGCACGGCCGTCCCTTGGGCAACGCTTCCTGGCCGATCTACCAAACAGCTCGCTATGTCGTTACCTGTCGGTAGCTCACTGTTTTGTTGATATCGAGATTGATACGGGGTTGTTCTCGCCATCGTCACCTGTTAACTTGCTTGAGATCCACTGGCCTTGATCCGTGGTCACTCTGGGGTTTCTGTGGCTGGTACTGGCTTGTTTGTATTCGCTGCTATTATAGTAGTGGTATACCACTCTAACTAGCAGTTCGTCGCAGACGTGCGCAACAGTCGCACGCCCATTCTCGGGCCCAGTCACGCTGAGTCTACACTCACCGCAGCAATCGAGCGCCGATTCAGAAACAAAGTCGACTGCCGAGCATTCTTTTTTCCGAACTTGATGCCGTTCTATTGATCGCCTGATCCACTCGCATACCTCTGGCGTCGCCACCAATACATACTTTCTATGCGAACATAGATCTCCGCCATGCCTGCCCGTTCGAAGAGGTATCAGGTCAATGCATCATCGCCCTATTCGAGCGACAGTCGCGATGTCGTCGACATTGAGAAGCAACCATCGAGGCCGAGGCGCCACTACCGTCGCGATAGCTACAGCTCGTATGATTCAGACATTGAAGATGACTCGGAAAGCTCCTCCTCGGTGGCTTCGTATCGCCCCATGCTGAACAGAGCGCCCGTGGCACCCGTGCGACGTTCTCGCAGCAGGCCAGGCTATCGCATACCTAATCGGATCATGAGATGGCTTTGCCTCGCGCTACTGGCCTTCTTGGTTCTGTTTATCTGCACCTTGTTTCGCTTTACCTTCCTTTCAGCTGTCACTCGCGTCAATGTTCCGTTGCCGAAGCCTGCTGCAAAACCGGCACAGTGGGAGAGCTTCCCTTTATTAAAACGCTACCATGGCGGCATCCGGTCCTTGGTATCGCGAAGCGAACAGGTGCCAGAGTATCCCAACGATAATCCGGACATCTTGGGCGTTGAAAGCGCGGAAGATGCAAATGATACCATCATTCAAGCCCGGGACCAGACATTGCCATTGTCGAGCTCTATCTTCAATCCTTATCCCGACTACTCGTCTACGGAATACGTCGAAAAGTACGGTGAGAAGCGTGATTGCTTCCTTGATGAGGAGGAGAACCTACGGATCCCTCTGGTACAACACTATCCCGGTGTGCCTCGTGGGTTTCCAGATGCAATCCTGGGCTCCAACGAGATGATCGGTATTCAAGACGACGTTTGCTTTGACCGTTTTGGGCGTCTCGGCCCTTACGGTCTAGGCTACAGTGTGCGAAAGGGTGGTATCGGTGCAGGCCTCGAAGGCGATCGTGAAGGTGCGGAGCGTGTCTGGAACGACGTTCCGCCAGTTGACTTTCGTCGTGTCGACTGGGCAGCTGCGCAGAATCGATGCTTGGCTTCGAATAGCCACCGATTCCGCGATCTTCCTGCTTCACAATCCGACCGCTTCCGTACTATGACCGTGCGTGCACCAGACACCAAGCAAGCGCCCCAGGACGAGGCACAGTCTGATGGAAAGTCCTATCTACCTCGGACCGCATTCGTGATCCGCACGTGGCATGATTTCCACTACACCCCGGATGACATCCTGTATCTACGATCCCTCATTTCCGAGCTATCACTTCTCTCCGGTGGCGAATACACCATTCATTTCCTGGTCCAGGTCCGGGATGAAACCCTCCAAATCTGGGCTGACGATGAGGTCTACGAGCGCGTGCTAAACGAGGCCCTGCCAGCCGAATTCCGCGGCATGGCTACTCTCTGGTCCGAGCGGCAAATGAATCTCATGTATCCCGGTCTAGAAGAGACCTGGGCCCGCGGGCTATCCGTGCACGGCGTATACCGCAGCACCTACATGCCCATGCAATACTTTGCCCATCAGCACCCGGGATACGACTACTACTGGAACTGGGAAATGGACGCCCGGTACACCGGCCATTGGTACCACCTCTTCGACAAAGTTATCAATTGGGCTCGAGCCCAACCACGCAAGGGTCTTTGGGAGCGAAACGCTCGATTCTACGTCCCCTCAGTGCACGGTACCTGGGAAGACTTCCGGCAGATGGTCCGCGTGCAGACCGACATCGGCACCAACAGCCCCAACAACCTCTGGAGTGCCGCCGGCGCCTCGCGACCCGGTCAAGACCGCACCCCCGAGTCCCTGAAAGCGCAACAGCAACAACAAGGCGACAAGCCAATTTGGGGTCCGGAACGGCCTAACGAACCCGACATCCTCGAAGTCCCATCGGAAGGCATCCCACCCACCACGATCGACAAAGACCGCTACGAATGGGGCGTCGACGAAGAAGCCGACCTCATCGTCTTCAACCCCCTCTTCGACCCCGAAGGCACAACCTGGCCCCTCCGCGACGATGTCACGGGCTACGACCACTCCACAGGCCCTCTTCCTCCCCGCCGTGCCTCCATCATCACCGCCTCCCGTCTCTCCAATAAACTCCTCCAAACCATGCACCACGAAACGATCCACAAGCGCCACACTATGTTCTCCGAAATGTGGCCCGCCACGACAGCCCTCCATCACGGGTTCAAGGCCGTCTACGTGCCACATTCGGTGTACATTGACCGCCGCTGGCCGACTCAGTACCTCGAATCGGTATTCAATGCTGGCCGGAACGGTGCGTCCGGTGGTGCTCGCACGTCTGTCTTTGGCGATAGAGAACATAACTTCCGCGGCTCGACGTGGTTCTACTCTGCTGGGTTCGCGCCGAATCTGTGGAAGCGCTGGCTGGGGTATAAGGTTGATAATGAGGGGGGTGAGCAGGCCGAGTTGGCGGGTGAGGGAAGGATGTGTTTGCCGCCGATGCTGTTGCATCCGGTTAAGGAGGTAGAGATGATTATCGATGATGGGGAGGAGAAAGAAGATGAGTAGGTTGATTTTGATTGATGGATGGATGGGGTTACATGATTAATTGGAAAATCTGTGGCGAAATGGCGTTGGGACTTCGAATTGGATGATTAATGATTGGATGTATATGATAATTATGCTATAGGTTATGTATGTATGTATGTATATGAAGAACTATTTTCAATATGATGTAAGGGGCATGGTAGTAGAGAGGGTAGTGTTATAGTTCTACGACTAGATGGGAATTCCATCTGCAACGGCTGATATTTGATTGTAATAGTCTCTGCATAGTATAATTATCAAGAATTCATGATTGAATACCGGGTATGTCCAAATCTAGGCCAAGGCTATCCCAATCCCAGATCTGATTCAAATCACTCAAATCCAGGTCCAGGTCTAGACCCGTGCTAGGAATACCATCTAGTCCTAGTCCGCTCGAGCACGCGTGCATATTAATAGGTGTATTGTCTGAGCGGCCATGCTTTTCCAGCAATGGTGAGACTAAACCATTGTCCTGTCCACTGGTAAGATTGTCTTCAGACGAGGAACATCCCGCATCATCAGTACTACTAGTGGTAGACGTTATAGCAGGAGACCTCTTCGACCAGACCACTTCCCTCTCCTCGGCAGAAAGAGAGATACTGCCCACTATCTTCGCAAGAACAGCATAGCAAGTAGCGCCTGTTTTGGCCGTTCTGGCGACATCTTTCAGTGTACTCAGGGCTAGAGATATGCACTCGAGTACCTTCTCCCGCCGAGGAAGGTCCCGATGTTTATCATGGATCAGTGCAGAGCACAGATACGCAGCCGTGTCGAACATCAGAAATGGCGCGAAGTGGAACTTTCCGTTTGCAGGAAGGAGATGTGATAGGAGTTGCTGGGCCGAGAGCATTAAATCAAGGGCGCAGGATACTGCGGTTGGTTGGAGGGACTTCTCGAGGGTGGGTGTATTGTGGGTGGTGAGGTCAATGGTGAGACAGGGTTTGAGGGGCATGAAGGTGACCATGTGGGCTAGGGCGTGGAGTTGGTGGCGTTGCATGGGTATGTAGGTGTGGGTGTGGTCGTGGGTGGTGTCGGGATC